AAGCATTGCAAACGCCTATGAGACTTGATCCCAGGAAATCCAAGCCAGCTTTGGTAACCGTACAGAGAAATCACCACTTCAGCAGCAGCGCACTTAGCTTAGTGGTTAAAGCATCACTCATGAAGTTTGAGGTCACGGGTTCAATTCCTGTAGTGCACAACTTATATTTTGGTTTCTGACAAGAAGCACACAAAATGAAATGGGATGTCACAGATATCTCAACACCCCCCCTTGCTAATGACTGACTTCAAATAGATGCAAAGCAGAAGAGAAATTGAAAGAGAGAGAAGAAAGCAGAAAAATAAGAAATCAAAATCAAACAAGACCAAACATGAGACGGTGTTTTTCCAGCAGGACACGGGGGAGAGGTTTGGTGAGCATATCCGCCAACATGTCGTGCGTGGAAACGTGAACGATCTCAAAAATTCCATCTTTGACGCAGTCGCGGACAAAATGATATCTAGCATCGATGTGTTTTGTTCTAGCGTGGTGTTCAGGGTTATTGGCAAGAGCTTCAGCACCTTCATTGTCGACATGGAGCGGAAGTGCTGATTTTGGTCGGACAGATAATTTGGTGAGTATATTGCGCAACCAGAGACCTTCCTTGCAAGAGTCCGCCAGTGCCTTGTATTCCGCTTTGGTACTGGACAGAGAGACAGTTGCCTGTTTTCGAAATTTCCAGGAGATGGCTCCCTCACCAATTCTGTAGGTGTATGCCGAAGTTGAGCAACGGTCTTGGCGATCCTCGGCCCAGTCAGCGTTGGAGTAGCCAGCGCAGGTAAGAGAGCCCCCAAGACGGAGTCGAAGTGATTTGGTTGAGGCCAAGTAGTTTAAGATTTTTACTGCCGCAGACCAGTGGGACGAAGAGGGATCACAAAGAAACTGAGATAGCTTGTTTACAGCAAAAGAGACATCCGGGCGTGTGCATTGAGCAATCCACAGTAGAGAGCCAATCAGTTGGTTATAAGGGCCAGGAGAGGGGTCTTCATTGGCGGTCTGTTTGAGCAGGTCCTTGAAAGAAGAGGAAGTAGGTGTCCTTGTAGCTGTGTGTGTGCCATTGAGGAAGCGAGAGACCATGTCATCAATGTAGTGACTTTGAGACATATAAAGAAACTTGTTCTCATGATCACGTGTAAACTTGATTGAGAGAAAATGATGGAGGTCTTCGTCTGCGCCAATCTTGAATTTTTCTCCAAGGCTGGAAATAATTGAGTCGACAAAGGAATCTCCCCCCACAACGGCAAGATCATCGACATGGACGGTTATGGCCCCCATTAGTTTACGATCGTGAACCTTGAAGTATAGGGTGGGGTCGTACTTGGACTGAGTGAGACCAGAGTCGAGAAGAGCTTGATGAAGTTCCTGGTTCCATTGACGAGGGGCCTGTTTGAGGCCATAGATTGACCGGTGGACTTCACAGACGAAGTCAGGGTTGGCAGCATCTTCAAACCCGGGAGGTTGCTCCATAAAGATAGGTTGATCAAGATGGCCGTTCAAGAAGGCGGTTTTGAAGTCTACTTGACGACCCTTCCACGATTTTGATGCCATGAGACTGCAAATGAGCCTTAGTGTTTCGAGACGCAGAGTGGGTGAAAAGACTTCTTGATAATCTACTCCACGAACCTGGGAATAGCCCATGGCCACGAGCCGAGCTTTTAACTTTAGGATAGATTTATCAGGACGGCGCTTTACTTTGAAGACCCACTTCGACTTGATGATTTTCCGTTTTGACGGCCTGGGAACCAATCTCCAAGTATCCATGCCAAGCAGGGAAGAGAATTCCTCATCTGCAGCTTGAATCCATTTAGCCTTGTGAGGTGATTTCTGGAGCTGGCGCCAAGTTTTCGGAGTATCAACATCCTCAGGAAGAACTGCAGAAGATTTTGCCCAGTTTCCGTAGCGTTCAGGAGCCTTCCGAGCACGTCCAGATTGCCTGACCGGGGGAGTAGGAGGACGTGAGACGGGAAGAGGTAGTGACGCGGGTGATGGCGCAGCCTGAGGTTGAGCAGGATCAGCAGGCGGAAGAGGCGCGGGAGACGTTGAAGCGGGCAGAGTAAGAGGAGGGACAGTGTCTACGAGGGAGGATGCTGGGGGACGAAGAAAGGGGGATGGAAGCGGAATTGGTGAAGGAAGACCAGAGGACTTACCACTGTCATCAGAATCACTGGTGATTGGGGAGGTGGGGATGGCAGGAACCGGATCTCGAAGTTTTCTGAACGATTGAGGCAGAGGGATCCGAGACAAGGGTAGGGGAGGTGGAGGCGGCCGAGAGACCGGAGGAGCCGGAGGAATATCAGTGGCCGGTGGTAAAGTGGCAGGAGGAGGAAGAATGGAGGCAGAGGCTGGCCAAGGAAGGTCAACGTAGATAGTTGGCGCAGGGCCCGTGATTTGGTGATCATAAGGGAACGTGCTATCGTTGAAGATTGTATCTCGAGTCTTGATTGCCTTCTTTGTTTGGAGATCCCAGACTCGGTATCCATTTCCATCTTCAAGATAAGATAGAAAAATAGCAGCGTGGGCCCTAGGATCAAGTTTCTTCTGTGTTGCGTCCGGGACTTTATGCCAAACCAAACAGCCAAAAGGATGAAGTGAGGAAAAGTCGACAAGGGGGCGACACAGCAGAGAGTTTGGAGAGTGGAAGCCTAAAGGAGTATAGCAGGGGACGGAATTGAAAGCGTGAAAGATATGGCGCATAGCGTCTGCCCAGAAGCTTTTCGGAAGTTTTGCGGTGAGTAAGGAGCATCGAATGAGGTTTGCCACAGTGCAATTAGTGCGCTCAGCAACACCGTTGAGGGAGGGGGAGTGAGGAGGCCCAGGTTTGTGACGGATACCAGAGGTGAGGAGGAAAGACTCAAAAGCTTTAGAGACATATTCGCCACCATTGTCAGAACGGAGGGCGAGTATTGGGAATTTTCCATCCTTTTCGAAAAAGGCCTTAAAAATTTTGAAGCACGGGAAAACCTCTGATTTGAATTTCATTGGAAAGATTGAAACAAACTTGGAACAGTCATCAATAAGAGTAACAAAATATTTGTAGTGCTCGCGGGAGGCGACCTCAAAGGAACCAACATCAGAGTGGATAAGATGACCGGGAAATTGAGAGCGATAAGAGAGACGAGAAGTAAAAGAAAGACGGTGCATTTTTGACTGCACACAAATGGGAAATTGAGTAACTTCAATATCGTTGGACGTTGTTGGGGTGATACCGGCTTGACGAAGGAGTCGTTTGAGGGGTTTCAGACCTATGTGGGAGAGCCGGATGTGATAATCCAGTAATGAGCAGCCATGAGAGGATGATGGAACTGAGATGGCGGATGAAGATCTTACCTCATTGGAGGGGAGATAGAAAAGGTTACCCTTACAATAGCCACGACCAACAGGATGACCGGTGACCTGAAAGGAATCTGCTTCGTAGATGTCGCATGAGTTGGTGGGGAAGACAACCACCAGATCCTTGTCACACAAGCCCGCAACGGAAAGCAGGGGTTCGTGAAGACCTGGAACGACGAGCGTAGGGACTTGCTTGTCTATCGAGAGAGGAAGGGACTGAGAGCCTCTGAAAGTCGCAAAGACTTCAGACCGACGAGCTGGATCATGTACCAGCTTGTCGGGAGGGCTTCCTCCCGGCAAGCCGGTTTTTATACCACCTCGTCGGAAGGAACCCCTTCCGACGACGAGCTGGTACATAATCCAGCTCGTCGGAAGGAACCCCTTCCAACGAGCTGGCATGTACACAGGCTCGCCGGGAGGGGTTCCTCCCGGCAGTGTGACCTCGGCCTCTCTAGGCCGAGGGGGTTTGAAAAAAAGGAAAAAAAAAAACAATGGCGGGGCCGTCCCATAGGACCCATGCCTGGGTCCTATGGGACAGCCCAGGTCCTAAACTCATATAAATATGTGTTTAGGACCTAAAGTTGGGCGTGCAGGCAGGCACGCCAACCTGCAGGTATACCCCCTGCAGGCGAGTGGCGTGCCTGCCTGCACGACATTCCGACATTCTGCAATGGCGTGCAGGCGTGCACGCCAATCTGCAGCTGGCGTGCAGATTGGCGTGCGCCATGGGGGTTGGCGTGCGCTTATCAACCCCCAAAGAGAACATACCTGGAGACAGAGTGTTGGAAAGGATGAGGAAAGAAAGCATCCCAAACACAGCTGAATCCAGTATAAGAACTAAATGAAAAACAAGTGAATGTCACAGGATGTGACATGAGAGAAATGAAATCAGGAAGAAGCACACAAAATGAAATGGGATGTCACAGATATCTCAACATCATCTGTAGAGGAAACCTGATTAGCATTGGTTTAAATATAAAGGGTAATTCTTACCTTCTGATCTTCCGGTTCGTAACTTGCAGAGTATCGACGGATACTTTGGTGCTGTTTCTTCAAAATCAGGCAAGGTGACCTTGTTCTTTTGACAACACATTGAATACGATTTTTTACTTTTACCTCGGTCGAGTAGTGTTGCCTTGTCGTGCCAATGGAGTGCCCCACATGAATCACACACTTGATCGCATCGTCCCAGTCTATGAGGGATATAATAATCTGAACTTTGGTGACAGGTCGACTCAAAATTTGGGGAAGTACTGTTGGTTATCTTTGCTTTGGAGTTTATCATGATTGATCTAGTTGAATGGTCAAGTTATGCAGATGTGTGGAGAGCAGAGGCTCATCTCAAGTTTGATTTTACAACTCGCCCCCACGGGGCAATGAATAAAGAATCCCAAAAGTATTCCAAGAAAATGAAATGAGGAATTGTATGCATTTAATTATAAAGACAAATGCTCTCATTAATTGAAGCCTTTCAGTTTAGCATTGGCTTTGCATCAATTTATACAAGCAAATCAAAATTATCTTAGACATTATTTAAAAATTGACGTGTGACAACGTGCACATCCTATAGTATCACTCGATCTAAGCCTCAATGATGGATCATTCCATTGTCTCATTAAAAAAACTTGTCAGGACTTACAAGGAGTCTAATGATTCCAGAGTCAGTCTCTTCACCAATAAACTTTCCACAGAACCGGATAATGGAGCCACTATGGATTAATTTCCAATCAATTGTATCCCAATGACCGGTATGTATAATTAAACGAAACTGGATTAAGGAGGCAATGCCCTAAACGAAATTGTCAGTGTTAATCATGACAGGGAGGCACAAACTTACTAATGGGTCATTGTTAACCAAAATTTCATCTTGTCCAGGAACGCTTTTCCATGCAGCCAAAGCTAAGTTGACGGTGGCAACGCGTCCAGTACCCGATACCTTGAGGTACTCTAAGTTTTTCAACGTTTTCGCGAGGAGTGGATTAAACTCCCATGTTGTACCACATGCATCATCCCTGACAATTAGTCCATCGATTTTATATTTACCATGTACACTCAAGTTGAGACCTAAATTCCCTAGACATGGAGCAACAATTGTCTGAATGAATTTGGCACCCTCTCGGTAAACACTACGGTCGCCATTGACTTCGGATGATGCATCCGCCACTTTGATTAAGTATATGTTGCAGATCCCCTTATCATAGTCGAAAGATCTATCCTGTCGAGTTCAAAATCATGTTAGCACAAGTAGAAGCGATAAACATCCCACCTTACCTTTGATAATAGTCTTACCACGCCGGAAAAAGTAACAGGGCCAATCACTCCTGAGCCTTCAACTGCAAAGTTCATGTTTGATGTATGGAGTCGTGTATAGGTAATGTGCGGTTCGGTTTTAGATGATGGTGTTGTTGATTTGTCTGGGTGGACCTGTTTCACAATTGTGTGATTTGCACATAAGACCGTGTCATATATCCTGATAAACGGACTTACACTGGGTCCTAGCTACACAGCTTGTATATGAATCACCTAAGCTGGTTAAGCTTGTGCGGCCACAGGTTTTTCAAAGGTGAGCCACTTCGCCAAGCCATATATAGATTCCACCAAGGCAACTGACGTTGACTGGACCCTTCAACATAAACTCAACCAATCTGGTTGATAAATAAGGCCAGTTAAAACTATCTCTTATTAACTGCTTATCTTTCACACTTGAACGCAATTCACTTCTAATCATCCAATTTTGGCACATAGCAACAAATTTGCAAAGGGAAAACATCCTTATAGTTTCAACTGCCACATGGCTACGGTGGTTAAGATGAAATTGAGTTGCAGTAAGGTAATTCTTACTGCTCATTTTCGTACGATTGAATCATCAAAGACTTGAAGACATTGGAGAAACTTATCTTGCCCATGAAATGCGGCTTTACATGTCTATTGCGTGAACTATAACAAGAGGAAAATTGTTGAATTACAACTTGACATTGTAGCCAGGAAGATCTTAAAGCAAGCCTCGGACATAATGGTCAACATTACCAATATATAGTTCTTCTTTTGGTTCATCTTTATATGCTGGTCTGTTGAAGATAGCGCCCGACTTTATATCGTGTGAAGTGTTTGCTGTCTTTTTGTTGATCTGGAGAGACATTCTGAGTTGATTGTAAACCGAATCGTCTGCTGAAAATAACGTGCAATGTCGAACTTCTTTTGCTCGCCAGACAACCTTAACAACTGCATTGTTCTTCGATAAATCAATACCACATCGATAATCTGGGAAAACAAAGGCGCGTCCCCTAGATGGAGATAGGTTATTTGTATTTGGCAGGGACCAATCAGTCTTATTTACTGGAGTAAATAAGCCAAAGGCAAACTCGGACAAGTCTTCGGTGTCAAAGTGAGGTTGATTGAAGAAACCATCTGTTGTAAAGGTCAAGTTGGGTGCGCAATCGTCCTCTCCCAGTGGAATTCCAAAGCCGGGTTGTCCAATTGATGGGATAGAATTTTCATTCATAGATTGTTGATTGTTGGCAAAAGCAAAATTTGCAAGACGGCGAAAGAAGCGACCGAGGATGTTTGAAGCCCTCCCGGACTTCCTCATAAGTGAATCATAAGCTTCCGGTGAACGGTCGATTGCAGCTTTGTCACGATAAAGACCAATCAGTTGAAATCCAACCATAGCCTTCCTCCAACCTATTGCAAACATCTTGCCTCCCCATGACCGTGATTCTGATCCAACTGCATTGACAATTTTTTTGGCCGAATGGAGGAATTGTGTGATGTAGTTGATGTCGGCGAATTCATCAGGATTTAATTTGTCGATAGGGGTGAATTCAACGACGGCGATAATCTTTGACTTGTCTTTTGTCAGCCACAGAGTACATGTCACAGTACCTTTCATGTACCAAGTAACTGCAACACCTGTACTTATGTACATAAGTACTTATCCATAATGTTGATTACCTTTACCTCTTGTTATCTTATCTTTATTATTAACTTATCTTATTTATCTTATAGTTATCTTATCTGTTAATTACTTATCTATTAAATACATACCTGTGTTCTACATAAGTAATTATCACTTACCTTTCACTCCCTTGTCCGTGAAATACCTGTACCACAAGTTATCCCTCTGCTACAGTATTTTCACGGTCAAATATTATTACAAATAAATATGTACATGTATTAAATAGTAAGTATTAAGTGTCAATAGAATTAATACATTCAATACATGCACTGATCACAATTATGACTACATTATTAGAGGATCTGTCAAGTGCAAGCATCAAGAGCAACTAGTACATTGATCAACTAGTACACAATTATGATGTCACTTACAGATCATGACAAATAATGATCAGTCACTCAATTGATGTGCTCATTCTCCTGGCCAAAGCTCCCTTGATTCTGAGCGCTCATTCTTTCCCCCCTTCAGTATTCTGGAACTTATAATCCGTGCCTCTTTCACTGATTAATCCCCAGAATATTCAG